TTACGTCAAAGAAGTAAAGAAAATCAAACAAATCATGAACAAACTTACAGATGAAAACCTAAACCAATGAAAAGCCTTTTTGTCTGACCTTCAATAGGACAACAGACCAACAAACACAACAAAGGCGCTTTAAATAATTACTGCACCTGACCTTTCTAACAAGATACAAAAGCAGGTAGGACAAAAACATGCAGATCTTTATTTGCCACACATCAAACAGCCTGCGTATGCGGCTCAGGCTGTTTTGTGTGTTCACATTAAGCTAAGACAGGAAGCCAGACAAATGCAATGTTCCAATATGAATTGAATCTTATTATTAAAGAGAGCAGCAGAGCATGTGATTGGGGGGTGAGGTGGGGTGGGGGTGTACAGACAGATAGACAGATTATTTATTATCCATGAAGAAGAGAGAGAGAGCTTGTAAACTGAGCTGGCTCAGTAAACAAGAGTTCTGGGTCAAAGTCTGAATGCACAACAAGGAGCGAGAGGGACGAGGAGAAACGTGAGAGGGACGGGAGCTTTTTGTCCTCTCCTCCAACGAGATCACATGACAGTTCAGGTTTTTAATCCAAACACACACACACACACAGACACACATTCCCATGCAAGTGGCTTCCAACATTATACTGGTGTCTTTATTGATTTGTTGTATTGTGACCAGATGACGGCTATCTCAGTGTGTGTGCTGTGTAAGTGACAGGACAGGACTGGCCTCAGGGACAAGGGTCAGAGCAGCATGATACAGCGAATGCGCGCGCACACACACGGAGTAACGCACAAAAGCAAGGCGAAATATCACAATGAGTGAATGCAAGGGGCTCAAATGCACCTGCATTTCTGAGAAGTGAGTGCATCCTTTGAAATCGTGTGGCTCACTCTTACTACAGGTGCAGTCTTCAAGGGAAGAAGCGGAAGGCCTAATCCCTCAGACACATATGGCATCCTCATTCATAAATCCAGTACAAAGCATGCAGGTATTAACAAGAGCAGCTCATGTAATCGAGAGCTAGATTTGCTTTGCACACCATGCAAGAAAACTGCAGCAGCTCCTGCCAGCCAGCTTCAAAATAAAAGCAGGTTTAGTAAAGGAGTATTGTTGCTTTAGGAGAGCCCAGTCAAAATAAAAGCAGGAGTAACATGTGCATGGTCCCAAGCAGGTGTAACACGAGAGCATCTCAGGAGAGGCGTCTGCATCCTTACCTCAGGGCGACGCGCACCGAGCTCTCATCCGGCCCGCTGCTGCTCATGGTGGCACGGGAGGCTGGCCCGAAACAGCCCGCTTAAATATAGCTCAGTTTCGCTTTTTTTTTCTTTTCCCTTTATCCTCTTAGACGGGAGAGCGTCGCGGTCTCCCTCCCTCCCTGCTCCTCTCAATAAAGCGCTTTCTATCTTGGGCTTCCACCGCGGCCGCCGCTTTCGCCTCACCTCGTCGCCCGCTTGGAAATAAACCCCATTTTAAAGGCTCAATCTATTCTATATGAATAGATTTGGATTCCATGTTCAGGAAAATGTGGCTAAGGATTCAGCCGTGGTCACCTCCTGGGAGGCATCGTCGCTTCCTCCGGCCCGGTTGGAGCGCGCTGTGTGAGTGTGGAGGAGCCGGGATCCGCCTGGCGTGTGATTGCCCTGGACGTAACCAAGCTCCTCCCCCCAGGAGAGCCGTACCAATCCAGGCAGGGGGCAACCTCACACACCAGCAATAATAAAAGTAATAATAATAATAATAACAACACACTTGTGTCGACTGTCAACTCAGTGAAACTGACTTTATAGTGACATATCGCTAAAAACTCCAGAATATATGCATGGCATGCAGTCCTTGAAACCCTAAACATGGCGATGTGAAGCGATTTTAAACTTCCACTTAATATAAACCTGGCCTCTTCTGTCTGTGTGTAATAATTAGATGACGTTATAGGGCACAAAATTGAACTTGGCCACGTTGCCATCTACTGGTGAATTCTTATTATTACACCCGTGAACTATAATTCTGAAGATTTGTATTCAACAAAAATTGATCATGTATGTCAATATGGAGACTTTTCAAATCCTCATTCAACTTACTCCTCTTTCAACTCTACTTCCACACACATTGACCTACAGACACCTTTTAAACTGTAAAATAAGCCAAGACATTGAACTATTCGGCTTGGATTTATCTTTTCAATGTCTTTTATAGTTTTTCTTCAGTTCCAGTTTAAGTTTAATGCCCCCCCCCCCCCGTTTCAGAGTTTATAATGGGTGTCAATGGGATGAAATGTTGGCTGTTTCAGTAAGAAGCTGCTTTGTCCACAGTTTTTGGTCTACAGTCATTATTTTACCCTCAAAACGTGGACTTTTAGAAGCAGTTTTTCAGCAGGTGCATCGCGGCAGATTTAACAGGGCTTTGCCACAGAGCAACAGTATCTCTGTATTTACTCCAGTCCAACTGAAAGCTGTTGTATGTATATACTTTGTCTAAACACTAACACACAATTATTCTTAAAGTAAAACCCACAAAATCTTTAACGATTAAAAACTATTTTGCCTGTTCATTTGATGCCAGTTCCCCTCTTTCTCTGTAATTTACACTCTAATACTCACAGACAGACACACAGAGCAGATATTTGGTAAATATGCTGGTTTTTCATTTGAGATTCTTGAGTTTAGACATTTAAATCAGATTTCTCTCATGATGGTCTGGACCACGTTGTCCCTGATGGAGCAGGAGAAAATGGTCTGGCTTTTCAGTGCTGTAAAAGTTTTGGAGATTCGATCCAAAGTGGCCTTTGTGACACTGATGGAGAGTATGCTCAGCCTTTGGGAGGCCATGTTTAAGAGGGGGCGAGGAGGAAGCTCCCAGAAACTCTGCAGGATGTGGGTAACTATGTCTGTCACTACTTCTTGAGTTGTGAGCATTTTGGAGCTTTGTGCTTCCTGTTGCTTCTCTTTAAGTATCCCAATGTAATTGTGGATATTGCTGAGGAGTTTAGGTTTTCTGGGACAAGAAAAGTGAATTCAGTTGACTGCAATCTGCAATCTACTGACATGTAATGGTGAAATGTTACACGCTGTAACCTTAATGATACTTGAATAGAGGCCAGGTGCTGCTCTGCTTCAGCCTGTTCAGTCTGCACATGCAGTCTGTGTAATATGTGAATAAAAATAAAAGAAATTAAATGAAATGAAACACACAAAACAGTTAAAGATTAAAAACTATTTTACCTTTTCAACTGGTGCCAGTTCCCCTCTTTCTCTGTATGTCACTCACTCTGTGATACTCACATACAGACACACACAGAGCACATATTCTGCAAATGTTCTGATTCTTGAGTTTAGACATTTAACATCCATAATTCCGCTCTTCCAGTGATTTAAAGAATATGAGCTTTCAATATTCATTCTAACTTTTTTGGGTCAGTTGTTCTAATGTACATTTTAAAGACGTTCAGCAACTTTCCAAATTTGAAAGAACTTCTTCTGGGTGAACTTCAGCTTTCTACAGTTCTGCACTTTGGCTTTGAGATGAATGATTCAGTGTGTTTCAGCTCATTCAACAAGCTTTTCAACAAGGATTCAGCAATTACAAAAATGAACTCAAACCTTTTATCTATCAGCATTCAGGCTGCATTTTCTTTAGTAAATGCATTCTTTGGTTGTATATGCAATGTACTCTGTCTATTTGCTACATTAGTGTGTCCATCTACAGCCCCTTTCACTATGTACTTGTGCAACATGGAACATGACTCATTATTTCCCATTTATGTATCACTTTTGAACATGACAGTTCATTTTGTTGATAATAAGACAAAAAATATGTCTGGGGTGTCTGAAAGATCAACTGGGTGTTGGTTTGACTCATAGGACAGCTTCAGCTGTGGGATTCTCCTGTTTGTATTCAGACACTCACTGCACCCTCTGTTGGAGCCTGACTGACACTGAAGCTTTGGGGAAAATCCCAGTTTGCTGATATTTATACACTGGCTATTATTCTGTATGGTGTATATATACACATTTAGAGCTATATTAGAAGGAACAAAAGAGCAGTAATTATTTATTCAGAAAGTAGGGTTCTCATTGGCCAACAACATGCCAGTCACATGAGAATGCGGTAGCTGCTGTTCTCCTGTAAAGTCCAGTTACAAAATACCACGATAGCACTGTTGAAAACCACTAAGCAGTGGATGCTGTCACAGTAGCTATATCCATCTTTTCTACTCCCTGTGATTGCCGATAATTGCCTCGAATTACATTTTCACAATATTTCTAAAATTAGAAACATCCTGTCTCACAGAAACTAGAAAACTAGTTTGTGCATGTATTACTTCTTGGCTGGAATACTGTAATTTCTTTATTATCAGGATGTCCTTAAAGCTCCCTGAAAAGCCTTCAGCTGATCCAAAATGCTGCAGCGAGTACTGACAGGTACTAGAATGCGACGGCATGATTCTCCCATACCGGCTTCTTTTCACTGGCTTCCTGTTAAATCCAGAATTCACTTTAAAATTCTTCTTGTCACAAACGAGGTCTTGAATAATCAGTCCTCATCTCTGTCTTCCTCCCCTCATGCTCAACCGGTAACAGCAGATGGCTGCCCATCCCTGATCCTAGTTATGCCAGAGGTTTCTTCCTGTTAAAAGGGAGTTTTTCTTGTTGCTAAGTGCTATTATCATATGTTTTTTACTTTGCAATATAAAGCGCCTTGAGGCGTCGTTATTTTGTAAGACATAAATAAAACTGAATTGATTTGTTGACAGTTGCATTGATGCTGCTGTACTGGACACATTATGTGATGCTAAAATAACCAAATCGTCTTTTCGTGCACTCCTGACACATTGTCATAATTCCAAAAAGACCAGTATTGCCCAGCCTATATGATTCTCTGACCTGTGCTAAATTTAAAGAACTATTAAAGCTCATCATGTGGTACAAATATCATCATTTATTTAAGTGCTGAAAGCTGGGCTAAACTCAAGCATTTACTTAAAAGCTGAAAAAGAAGCAAGTTCATTTTTCTGAGGTTGCATTGTATCGTTTTATTTACAAGAAAATACATCTTCATCTCTCAACATAAAGTGATTTTTGATCAGATGACCTTAATGTCGCTCAAGCTCTCTTGCTGTAAAGGCTTAAAATACACAGACTCCTACACATGTGTCATATGAGATCCCCAAAAGATGACCTGGGCTACTGTTACTGAAAATTATGTCTTTAACATAATTATGTAATAATTCCAAAGCGTAGTAATCCCTGGATTTAAGGAAGAATCAATGCATGCTGGTCTGTGGTACACAGCAGCCTAATACAAATCCCACAAAAGTACAACATCATTCTCAAACTTACATATAGTCATCCATCTGCTTTTGACAATGTTGAAAAGATTGAATCTGGCTGCCCTGTAGCCATGGAATAACATGAAAATGGCCTTTCCCATAATTCCAGTTCACATACCACGCTGTACAGCAGCTCTGAAATGTAACACCACATTGTGGCTCTTGTAAAATGAAACAGCATGCACTATTAACACAATTATAAAACGACAAGCTGTTAACAAAGAAGAAACTTGTATGATCCAGTGGCGTAGAACTTGCTTCATACATAATCTCTCACTTACATTCAGTCTCTTAATAAACGATGGGGTGAGAAAGGCTGGGAGGGGGTTGGTGGGGGGTATGGGGGGGTTGCACTAGCAAGTAACAGTTCAGTAAGCCACTGCAGAGGTCTGCTGTGTCGTGGGGTCGGAAGAAATGATGAGGTCTCATTCACAAGCCAAAAATTCAATGCAGAGAAATGTTCATAGTCAGACCAGGACCAAGGCAACCACAAACACTGTAGCTGCTTTAACTTTTTTGGCCACTTGGGGGCAGCAGAAACATGCTTTGACCACTACACTGTCAGATTATTGCCTTCTCTGTGTTGCTAGTTGCCAGCAGGTGAATTTTACGTCCAGCTGATACCAATGTTCACTATCCTGTCCCCTATCATGCGTTTTCATCAATGAATAACTCCACTCAACAGTAAATGACTGGGTTTAGCCTCAGTTTTGCAGGATGATTGGAAGAAAATGATGCAAAAAAACCCCCCCAAATAAATAAAAATCTGACAAAAGAAGAAGAAGACACCTCATCATTTCTTCTCCTGTCTATTCAAGATGAAATACTGGATTTATCGTCTCACTATGCCTGTGAAAATAGCAGGCACTTCTTTGAGCCGACCTCCTTGTTCCAGTTTTACTCGGCAGACTCTTGTGTCATTCAGCGGATCGTGCGCCTTCCTGTCAACAGAGTCCAAATGAACAAAACGATCGTGTTTCGGGTCAGAAACGTATGCCATCTTGCCGTTTTTGCATGGCTGTGGTGATGCCCGTGATGCTCTCCCTTACATACCAGAAGAAAACAGTCTCTTTAATAGAGAGAACATCCCAGATAGGACCTTTAGACATTAAAGAAAAGAAGTGACTCAAATCTTCAAAATCCGTTTTTGCTTTCCAGTCACATTTCTTTGGGGTTTTGGGGGGGGTTGTCCCACAGAAACCTGGCAGCTCTCACCCTGAGCAGAGCAGCGCTGCATCTAAATGCTCTGAAGTTCTTTTCTTAAACTGTCCCCCAAAAGCCAAGAGGGGAGGTTTCATTGCTGGCATGTAAGCATGGTAGGGACGCAGCTGGGGCTCAGGCAAATCCTGGCATGCAAACCCAACAATATACATTAAAGGTTCCATAAAAGATTAGATAATGCCTGCTTGCTTATATGCCTAAACTTAGACGTCATTTAGCCATTTTTGTCTGAGGATTCTAAGAAGTCCTTGTGTAGACGGAAATACAGCAGTGCACTTGTTGATGATGTACCTGATTGTCCATGCTCTGAGGCTCTGAACACACATATGGTGGAATGTTAACAAAACAGAGGCGTTTTAACAATATAGTGGTATCGTAATCAGTGAGATGGCTTGGTATCATTAGATTGTGCTAGTTAGTCAGGCATGGAACTGGCACTGTTTGAGGCTTATATCCAGCACAGTGTGACAGTTTCACAGAGAAGTCCAGTGTTTCTCCTGTTTTAATTAACATAATGTGTCACAAATAAAAAATACATTTACAGATTTTCTGCCACACAGTTAAAACATGAGGGAGGCTCATATCGAACATGACCAAAGTTTCAAATATGTGCAAACAATCCCTGTCATCCAAAAGCTCTGATTTCAGACACTTCTATTTATCTATATGAGCCAAAGGAACGCAAGGTGGGTGTTACCTTTTCCAGAATGACGATATCATTATAGAGTAATCTCAGGCACTAAAGCCCCACCCACCTGCTGTTCAGGCTTGCTTATGAGGGGCAGCCAATCAGAGTAAAGTTGGCTCAAAGGTCGGGTGGCCTTTCAGAGAAAGACGCTTGAACAGCTTTTCAGGTTGAAAAAAATGATTATTTTGAACTGTGAATCATGCAAAGCTACGCTAGAATAAAAATATTATTAGAACATTAGAATAACCGTAATTGGTCCCCTTTAACTCAGCCCAATCTGAAAAGCAAAGGCAGTCCTGTTTGCAGCTGGTGAACCATATCAAACAGGAGCATTCCAGGTTCGAACCGTGTAAAGAGAGTACATTTATAAAAGCAGTTGTAATCGCAAGTTACCGTCACCACGCAGGAGCGCGGAATTCCCAACTTTTTTAAGAAAGGAAAAAAAAACATTTTAACAGTATCACAACTTTCCATCTTTGTTACCAGCAACTTCACGTGTAAAAACAACCTATTATCTATTATAACTTAATAATTTTAAACAGCTGTAACGTGGAGCATATTCTGGAACATGGTAGAGTATTTAAATACACAAAGTCATCCTTTCATTGCTTGGCAAATATGAATGCTGTCTACGGTGTATGAAACGACTTGCCTCAAACACACATTGTCAAAACGCCAAATCATGAACTATCTACTATCGACAATGACTAACGTGCATCTCTCCAGCAGATTTCCAGAGCCTTACATGGTCACTACTAATTACTGTTATTGTTTTTCCTCTAATTTGATATCCTTTTGTGTGTTTGTGTGTGTGTGTGTGTGTGTGCACTCATCTGCTAAAAAAACCCTCTCCGAGCAGGATGAGCTTGCCCTTCCTCACTGGACCTCTTTATCTCATTGTATTTGTTCAATAAACCAGAAACTTAGAGTTCTGGAGTCAGACCTGCGTCACTAATCGCTCTAATAATAGAGTCGGCATCTGAGCCCATTCCAGTGGTTCATGGACGTGCAACCTAACAAAGCTAACGTGAGGTATAAGGAAACAGATTGTACTGTGGCTCTGCAAAAAAAAAAGTTAAAATTACATTCGGGAAAACGAAAATCTGCTGCTAAACTGGAATACTGCTTTGGACATCAAAGTGGCTCTAACCTTTAAAAGGTTTTCCAGCTAAATAGCAGCTCCCAGAGCCACCGTGACATGCACACCTCTGAAAGCAGAGTAAAGTGCTACAAAACAAACAAATTCATCGTCTTGGTTAATTTGGGTGTATCAGTCACGCCACTTTGAGCAGTGGAAGCAAACAGCGTGCATTACAAGCAGCAGGAATACTTGCGAATGCACTTCACTCTCCCCCGCCTCTCAGACTGGAGCAGGGCAAAGGAGAGGGTGAAAAGACGGAGGGGGGAGAGAAGGGAGAGCTCAGAGGCAAAGCTGCCATTAAGAGCTCCCCTGCTTTACCGAGAGGCTCAGGGCAAAAGAAAAAAAAGGGAAAAAAAATTTGTACTAACAAACTGATTTCTTTGCCTTTTCATTGCCTCGCACCTCCTCCACCACCCCCAGCTTCTTCTTTTCTCCTCGTCTCAATCCTCCTTTACCCCCTCGGATCTCTTCTCACACCTCCCCCCTCACTCCTCAGCTGTTTTTAGGACAGAGTCATCTCCGAGGATCTTGCAGAGCTCGTTGAGGCGATTCTGCATCTCGGGAATGCCGGCCAGCTGGGTCTCCAGCCGCTGCTTCTCCTCGGTGAGGGAGAGGCGCGTTGCCGTGTCCAGCTGCTCAAAGCGCCAGCCTCCTTCCCCGTCAAACTGCAGCAGGTGGGTGTGGTACTTCCTGGAGGTGGGGAAGAAGGATTAGAAACAAAGAAAAGATTTGCTCCCTACTACAACTCCCAACTACATTAGCATTTATGGACCAAAATATTCCCCCAGTGTGACGAGGCTTACCACAGGGAGGGTCTGTGTGTGATGGAGAGCAGGGAGATGCCGGCATCTTTGGCAGCCTGGAAAATCTTTCCTTCCACGTCAATGCTCACAGCGCTGGTGCACTCATCCAACAAGGCATATTTAGGCCTGACAGAGGCAGAGAAATGGTTTTAAGTTGGTGCTATGCATCCACTCCATGCAATCGGATTGGTTATGCTATACACCCATAAACAAGATCCAACTGTTACAGCAGATGAACTATAGTTTTAAAGGGGCAACTTCTAGAGTAGCTTAGCATGATTCCAAGTTCAAAGTAAGCCTATGTTATCTCGTACTAGGCTTCAATGGAGCTCATTTTATCCTCTGAACCAAGCTGTCTTAGCTTCTTTCTTTAGGGCAGCTTTCCTGTGATTGGCTGCCATTTGAAAACACATGATTTGCAAACAAGAGGGTGTGGCCTCTGAACTCCCAGCCATAGCTGTGTGCCTGTGATAGTCATAATAAAGTCCTCTCTATTAGTCTAAAAGCAAAAGCAAAAAAACAAAACAAAAAACCATCTAAAACCTGCAGTTTGGCTCACAGGCATTACCTGCATATATACTGATCTCATTATTTGGCCACATTCATTATGAGCATTCACCATTTATAGAGTTGTGCAAATATGTAAACGTTGAAAAAACACACTTTAGTTTACTCTTCAGCATTCAATTTCTTAACAGTAATTCCTTCTGTGAAAACAGCCAATGGGCTACACGCTAAGAAATGTTAACCCACAGGCTTTTTCTCCTTACCTGTGGTAGAACATGCGGGCCATACCCATCCTCTGCTTCTCACCTCCTGACAACACATCCTTCCAGTCCAGCTCAGCATCCCAGCCTGAATAAAAAAGGAGGTATTGCAGAGTAAGCAAGTGTTTTTAAGTGTTCTTTTTTTTTGGTAATGAACCTCTGAACTAAAAGATTATCACCAGGGGGCAGGATTTAACTGTTTTTAGCCTTGACCATGAGAGGAAATAATATGTTCGTAAACACTTGTGTAGATCACTCACTGCACCATCTTGTAGTACAAGTTGGTATAACATGAAAGCACAGCCAGACCCTAATTCAGCATCAGCTGTTATCCCTTCAGCACCATACAGAGCTGCAAAAAAGTATTTGCCTGATTGCTTATTTTTGTATATTTGTCACACTTACACGTCTCAAACCACCATCGCACAAATTTTGATACTATACAAAGATAGAGTAAATACAAAATGCAGTTTTTAAATGATGATGTCATCTATTAAGGGAAAACAGCTATCCAAACTAACCATCCTGGGCCACCCTTGTCAGCAGGGCTGCAATCAAGTGTTGCGATGATTCAGTTCAATTCAGTTGAATTCAATGTAATTTATACAGCGTCAAATCACAACAACAGTCGCCTCAAGGCGCTTTATATTGTAAGGTAGACCCTACAATAATACACACAGAGACAAACCCAAACATCACATGACCCCTTATGAGCAAGCACTTTGGCGACAGTGGGAAGGAAAAACTCCCTTTTAACAGGAAGAAACTTCTGGCAGAACCAGGCTCAGGGAGGGGCGGGGCCATCTGCTGCGACCGGTTGGGCTGAGAGAAGGAAGACAGGATAAAAGACATGCTGTGGAAGAGAGCAAGCGATTAATAACAAGTGCAGAGATTCGGTGCAGAGAGGTCTATTAATACATAGTGAGTGAGAAAGGTAACTGAAGAAGAAATACTCAATGCATCATGGGAATCCCCCAGCAGCCTACACCTATTGCAGCATAACTAAGGGAGGATTCAAGGTCACTTGGTCCAGCCCAACTATATGCTTTAGCAAAAAAGGAAGGTTTTAAGCCAAATCTTAAAAGTAGAGATAGATGACTGGCAATGACTCTTTCACAACGCTGTGGAGGAATTCTGTTGCACTTTTCTTCACAGAATTGATCGTGACATGATGTGTTGCTTTCGAGATCTTTTAGCCCACTTCACTTCATGTCCTATTTAAGTGATTTCTAGATTTAACACGTTTGGCATTATTGTGGGTGTGACTGGTGAAATTATAAGCAGCTTTCCAAAAAATGTGTCTAATCACATTTAATTTATGATTTAACCAACGGTCCCCAACCCTCAACTCAAGTGTTCTACAGTCTCTATATTTCAAAATGAGATTACAATAGAAGAAAGGGAAGTGTAGATACTTTATAACAGCAGTCCCCAACCCTTGGGCCACGAACCGGTACCAGGCCGTGAGTCGTTTGGTACCGGGCCGCGAGAGTTGAGGCTCCAGTGGCGTGTCCAGCGGGGTGGCCTGGGGGGGCACAGGCCACCCCCCCAACCAGACTGGCCACCCCAGGTGCCACCCCGAAGCTAAAACAATAAAATTTAATGAAATATCAAATGTACGATTATGGTTTCACAGTGAAGCTCAGATATCCGAGGGTAAGTGAATGCAGCACCGGCTTCTGCACTATGCATCATGTTAGCAAAGGTAGGAGAGCCAAGTACGAAAGACGGCACCGCAGAAAACATTTTTTCAGCGAAAGATTAACACGTTAACATAGCTGGACTAGCCATCGGACGTTTGCATGGTGGGCTGATGACTTATTTATTTTTTTTGTAACGGCATGAACAATGAGAAGTGGTGGATTGGCCAGATGCTGGCCGATGTGTAAAAATAACTCAGTTGTTTGGTGGTGGCTATGGCGGAGCTTTCACAGAGGCAACAGGTGGATGAGGGAAGGTGAGGCAGGAGGAGAGACCCGAGGCAGCCGCCGGTCCAAGTGTCAGGTGTCAGGTGAACTGAACTTCAGGTAAGAAGTTATGACCTGCAGTCTATCTGGGTCAGATATAAACCAAGTTTAGGTGGAGTTTATTTTCATTGTGCTGACTTTTTACAGTCAGTTACAATACCTCATACTGCGTGAGCTAGCATGAGGAGTTTCTATACAGCTGTTCGGTTGCTATGATGTTACTGATAGTGAACTTTATTTTATTCATAAGATTAGTTAGTAGAGCTGCCAACAGTTCCTTAAAAAATGGAATGGTCCCTCATTCAGAGAAAATATTACGCGTTTCATATTGCCTCTTCTTCTCTCATCCTCTCACCCTCCCTCTCCTGTTGCTACTTTAATCATGAAACTGATCAATGATCAGCTGATCGGCTTTTCTCTCTTGTTTATTTATCGCCCACTTTGCGCCATGAAACAGGAAACCAGCGGATGTCGCGGTAAACAACAGCAGCACGTTTAAGCTTGATCAGCTGTTGTTAGAATGTATTTAATATTAATTTCTAGTATCAGCTGATGTTGGCTGGGGCCACAGCTGTAAAGCTGCTGGTCATGATGTCTGTTTAGATATGTGGTGAGAGGGAAACATGAAGATGAAACCAGGAGATGTCCTTACTGAATCATCAGAGCTGTGATGGAGAAACAGGTTTACCTTTTAGGTGACATGAATGAGTTGAAGTTATGAACTGTTATGAACTGAGAGACAAATAACACCAGGATCCTTTTCTAAGTAGCTGACAGCTGGTAACTGTGCAGGGGCGGGTCTAGCAAAGTGTTGCCAGGGGGGCAGGTAGGGCATTAACAGGGAGAGGGGGGCACAAGGAAATACTTTCTTATTCTCATTTAAAATGTCTCACTTTTATTAAATAATTATCTGAATCTTGCGAACAAAGTTTTTATCTGACATAAAATGTATAGAAATCATACATATGCCAAAAAGACTACATCACTGTCACAACAGCATTTGTTTTCATTCAAAGGCTTTATGGCTATGTAGTCAAAATGCCCAATTTTTTGTCCCAGTCCAGCCCTGCAGGTTAATACTGCCAGTGTCACCATGCCAGCTGACTGTATTTCATCATCAGCCAGTGTTCTTTATCAGTATTACCAAAGTTTACCATAAGGCAGCATAGAAAGTATTTACTTGCTTTCAGGTTTTATTCAAATGTTAGTCTTTTCATTTGTTTCCCCACTTTTTTCCTGTTTCAAAATCAAACACCAGTTTGTGAGAAGATTATCTTCTTTTTTTTAACAGGCATTGGTTTTGCATTGGCATTGGCTAATTTGCCAATTGTATGTTAAAAATGTTCGTATTTTAATATTCAAAAATGTTTTTGCCCAAAACATGTGCACTACATGTCAGTAAAAATACTATGCAAATATTGATGTCCTTGAATGCTGAGTAAACACTGACTGATTGTATCTCTTGTACTTTATCAACGCAGTATCTAAAAACTTTGCACCGTAGTGGTTAAAATCTCATTCTAATAAGAGTTAAAAGCGCATTCGGTTATTAGGTTTATAGGATTATTGAATTATGGTTAAGGGTTGGTAGAATTGTTTTTAACATTATCTGCCACCCTTCTCCAAATCTGTGCCCCTACCTGGCCCCCCCAACAAAAATTTTCTAGACACGCCACTGTGAGGCTCGGGTGTGAAATTTAGGGTGTGTTTTAAATTTCGGGTGTGTTTTCAGGGTTTTTATCGTTAACTCAGTTTCCCTGGGTCTTTTCCTGTGTTGTAGTTTTGTGTCTTATTTTGAAAGAAATATTTATGTGTTACCATAGCGACCAGAGAGCATTAAGGGGCAGAGAGGAGGATGTTACTCTCAATGTTTGTCACGGACCCAGTTCCAGGGATTCGGGGTCCGTGAGCAGTGTGGACTACTATTGTAGTTATTATTATTATTATTATTATCATTATTGTGGTTGTTGTTATTATGGTTGTGTCTGCTGTCCTGTTTTTCCGTGTTGGTGTACTGTCAGGTGTTTAGGGGTGTGTGCTTGTGTATGTGAGGGTGCGGTCGTGGCAGGCACTTTTAGGCCTGGTGGGTGTGGCCCTGCCAGCTGACCGGTCCCACCCAGGAATCCACACACACCTGGCGCCGATCAAGCCTCGTCAGAGGAGCTTCAAAACAGTGTGGCTGAGAGCTCCTCGACGCTGGATCGTTGAGTGACTTCCCGTCAGTCTTAAGTGTATTGTGCAAGGTTAGTGCAAGCCTACTGTTAGGTTTTGTACTCACGGCTGCCTTTGGTATGCGTGTTTCCTCAGGAGGAATTGTGGCGACCAGGAGGCAGCACACGGAGAGTACACAGGGAACGGAGACAGAGCACGGAGCATGGGATAAAGGAGAAGACACGGAACGGGAGTTGGGATCGCACGGGGGGATTTATTGTTGTTCGGATTGTCACCACTGTAAATAAACACTGTTGCACTGTAGAGTCCTGCATTTTGGGTCCTCCTTTCCCCACATCCCCACGGTCTGCCAGCGAGACCGTGACAATGTTGTTAGCACATTTCAGGAGGACACTGCTAATAAAGTTACACAATTACACAGTGAATTCAGATTATTATTATATTCATAAAAATAACAGTTTTCATCTTGGTCGTATCATTTTATTTTGTTGTATTTATCCACAACACCTTAAAGGCTGGTCCGTGAAAATATTGTCTGACATTAAACCGGTCCGTGGCGCAAAAAAGGCTGGGGACCGCTGATTTAACCTACCTGCCCACCTTTTCAAATAAGGCCAGGTAGGTTAGGATAGCTTTAAACATAAAAAATAAACAAAATCATTTGAAAACTGCATTTTGTATTACATTGTTGCGCTCTACACAGATGTTTTAGAGAAGCAGTAATAGCACTTTTTCAAAGTCTGCTGATAGCTTTAAAAAAGCAACCACAGGAATTTACAACAAGCACATTTTAAGGTGGTGTTAGTTGGATATTGTGGGATTATATATGATGACAGGAAATATTTTTTCTCCTTTGTTATATGAAACATGGAGAAGGCACTTAGAGTTTGATGCCACACAAAAACTAATGAGTAAAATCCATGAAAATGAAAACTGCAATACATGACTTCACATTAAATACTAGACTAAACTGTAAAGAGTTAAAGAGAAGACCAAGACTGTGTAACGGACTAATCATCATATCCTCTTTGGTTATATTGCATGTCTTTGTGAGCCCATAATAATGTGACTGCATACACGTGGGCTAATTACCATGAGTAATGCAAACCTTTCTAAACTGTTTCACAGTGCAACTATTCACGCATTAAACCTTCTTGCGGCGCTAAGCTTGGTACAGTAGTTGGTTCACAACAGTGTAACCATTTGTTCTGCAGGAGGGAGAGAACGGCTGCCAATTTGTCACACACTCAAGTTTAGGAAACGCGCGCTCAAGCTCCTGGCTGATGCACACAATGTGTTTGATCTCAAACACCAGCAAACCTTTTCTTCACAATTAAAGGTTTATAATTAAATGCTTAGGGAGTTTTTTCTTCCCATTGTTGCCAAGTGCTTGCTCACAAGGGGTCATCTGATTGTTGGGGGTTTCTCTGTTTTATTGTAGGGTCTTTAACTTACAATATAAAGTACCTTGTGCTGTGATTTAGTGACAAGGTTCCTTTAGCTCAGTAGTTGATTTTAATTTAGTATGTTGAGTTTTTTTTTCTTATCTGGTGATTGTGTGTCTTTTGATTTATGTGGTGAACTGCTGCTCTTTCATGGATAAATAAAAATAAAAGCTGTCTTACCTCCCTCTCTGTTGACAATGTGATTGAGGTTGACTATGGCTAAGATGACCTCTAGGTCCTTGTCACTCATCCCTCTGGCAGCCATGTCCTCCACCGAGTCTGGGTAGATCACCTGGTCCCGCAGTGAACCTAATGACATGTACGGCCTGGGGAAACATAAATGCACATAAGTTGTATCCGTTATGAGCACTAAAGCTCACAAATTGTGTGACAAAAGCATTTTTAGACACTTAAAGAGGAGGAGCTGAAAGAAAAAGATGTCTGTTTTATAGATAGTGTGTTGGATTCTGTTACAGCTGCCAGCTGGCCATCTCATCCTATGTATAAAATATTTACCGCACTGCAGGAGGGAGTCAGCTATGGGTACGATTACATTTGAAGGTTTGGGTAAGACTGCTTCCCACATGGGCGGCAGATCCTTGGTTTGAATCTCGACTGGTTGGACCATTACCTGCCTGTGCTCTCTGTTACCCTCACTCTCTCCTGTCAGAGTTGCTATATTTATTTCACTGTCTCGCTCTAAAATCAACATAAAAATGACAAAAATGTTATCATGATAGCAGCTGCTGCTCCAACTGTTGCAGCTCTTGCTATATAGCAATAAAGGAGAGAGGTTACGCATAATGGATAATTACCAAACAACTATAATAATATTTAATTTGATAATATTTATCATATCTAATCATTCTGCAGAGCTAGTATTTTAAACTTAATCTGGACAGTAAATATTTGACTCTGTCCACAGCTCTGGTTTCTCTCTCAGCTGCACAGACACACTCAGGTCCTGTTACAATGGATTAGATTACTGTTACGGTTCACTGGTACAATGATCAAACCCTGCACTTGTTTTGTCTGCCGTGGGCCCTGCGATTATTGAGAGTGTGCATTTGTGCGTATACCTCTGAGGGATGTAGAACATATGCTGAGGGGAGGGTTTGTGTAGCCGGCCGCCGTAGACAGGCCACAAGCCGCCGAGGATCCTGAACAGAGAGCTTTTTCCACAACCATTAGGCCCTGTGATCAGTAGGTGCATGCTCTCTTCCACCTGAACGGGAGAGACAATTTATTAATTCTCCTGAAGCAGAGCGGGCTGTCAGTGTAATTACAATGCATCACTAGGCCATAAAGCTGTGGAAAAAGCAGGAGTGGTGTTAAACTGTTACACACAGAAAATATGGGCTCAAATTGTGGTCATAAATATTTTGTATTTGTAAATCAGTTTTGTACTTGTAAATCAGGATTTGTATGAGTAAAAAGAATTTGTGTGTGTAAAAAAGATTTGTATGTATATCCAAAAAATACGGGTGAAACTCTGCACTCAAGTTTCAACTTACAAATACGAATTTTAACCGTATTTTTCTTCCTTTCAGCTGATTGGTCAATGTCATGTCAATCACAAATGTAACTATCCAATCAGAGAACAGATGGGTTTGGCTGTCGGAGGGGCACTTTTTTGAACTGTCCCTGAAAAGTGGTTTTGTATATTGAACACAACTTAAAAATAAAAATAAAAATCCAGATGAAAATATATAGAATTTGCAAAATATTATCTTGCACCTGTCAAAAATTTGTATTTAATATCATATTGATATAATAAATGAAATTATTTATCAAGTATCTTTAGATTTCAGTAAATTGTGGCTAATAAAAGTAAAAAAGCCTGATTAATTAATTAATCAAGGCTAAAGTTCTACATATTTAAGGGCTTGGGCACTTGCGCTACAGGCGCTAGCTAGCTTCTCAAGCGTCACCTTAGCTAATTAAAGTCACTGAGCTCTCATAATAAGGCTTATGTGGTTAGTTTCACTAACAGACTGTTTAAGAAGCGCTCTTTTTTTGGTGAATGAAATTCTAGTATTACTTCATTCATATGTAAGTACTAATTTGTAAGTATGGTATATGGCTACAGCTTACTAGCCAAACTAGCTTGTGTTAGCTGATAACTTGGCACGCCCCAATCTCGCATAAATACGCTGATTCTGGCTCAAGATTAAAAATGTAGTGATGTCTATAAGGCAAATCCTTTGAAACATTAGGCCACAGCACACATTACTACTCTATCATTAGTTTTTATAGCTTTAATCCTTTTGCTAAAGTGGTTAACCATGGTTTCCATGGCGAGAAACCAAATATAGAGCCTCATTCATAAACGATGGGTAAAAACGTTTCACACACAAATTTATGATTCTTATTTTCTCTATTTTCATGCACGACTATGCATTTGAAAAAATATTACACACCACTCTTATTGCTACTTATACTACTGCTAATTATTATTATTTAATTTTGGTCAATATTTACAGCTTTACAAAACGACATTGGCTAAAAATGTTTAGAATTAGAATACAAAACTTAATAATATGATATTAATTTACGTGTTACAATGCAAATTAATAATTGAAAATATGTAGACTTTAAACACACTTTAACAGGGTTATCTTATCATATGGGTCACTCTAAGTTTCATATGAACCTAAATGTCAAAATGTTCCTTTTTTCTTTTACTTGCCACAGTGAGTGTCTCAAGTTAAATGATATTCATCACCCCCATTATTTCAGCCAGCTCTTCATCCTCAGACACTATTACCCATCCTGCTTTTTTGCCTTAGTGAGCATGCTCTTCACCTGTATGCAGCTTGCTGTATGCAGATTACATGCAGTGATCTGTCCCATAAATCTTGCAGTAGTTTTGCATGTGCACTTGTTTTTTCGTGCAGGGTAAGAACTAAAAAAAAGAACTTAAAAGAAAAAGATCTTCAGTTCTTCAAAAAACTGCCATTTAAAGTTTGTGTATGATATTTATATTGAAGCTGACATTTTTAAGCACAGCATCAGCGTCTTTTTCCGTTATCAGCTCAATGTCAGCGGCGTACTCTTGTGTAACGACCTCAGGCCAACATGTATAATTGGAGCCTAGTGCAGTCTGCACAGAGGTCTGTTTGCCTGTGGTGTTTGAAAGAGATAAGCTATTCTTATTCATTTGTAATAATTACAAAAGCTGATTCTTTTGATGTCTCAAAAAGCATTTTTATCAAAAACATCATGTCAGTGTTTCCTATTGTTGCCTCCTAACAAAAGAAGTCAGCAGGTCAGAACTGGAATAAGAGACACGTTTTGTCTGGTATCAAATTATCAGCGATGAAATCATGCTAACTCAATTATCCACATACAAGAAACAGATGAAAGGATCAGCAGACCCTCAGCCACTTTTGAGTGAAAAAAACAGAACCTGTGCTGAATGGATGAGCAGATCTTTGCAGCAGATTCACATCTATGATATGAGCGTTATGCATTATACCCTGCATCCAAATAAAACTGGAACGTCTGATCTGTGATTTCCACCACCATGAAATCCTCATGAGGTGAATATAGTAGTGAAAATCCAGAGGGGAGCAACAAGTTGACACCCAAAGGATGTATCTGCTTTCTAATGAGACCCTGGGCCATTGTTTTTAAATGCTAATAAATTCTACACGGACCAAAATCCTCAGGAGTGAAGTCAGAGGGGCCTGAACTATCAGTTAAAGTAGAGCTCAGAAGGAAAAAAAGATCAGCCACCTTGAAGTTTAGGCAAGATACTACAACGTCTCCGTTTGGTGTGATAATCGGGACGTTCTCACACACGATGCCCTTGTCCACATCAATCACTTCGCCTGCAGAAACACAGAAACAGAGAAAAAGGATCAGGAACTACAGTGATTGTGTATTAGAGTAACTGATTGGACTCTGTGTCTTTACCACTTCACTTATTCATTAGCTTAGCATTACCCTCCAACATAAGATGCTTTCTATTAGAGTGTATCCAACCTTTGGCCATTTAGTTTATTGATTTCTTATAATGTAAGCTGATCTGTAAGCTGGCCCAGATAAGGTTTGTGCAATTCATAAAATCTGGTCAAACATTATAAATTAGCAGCAAAACTTGAGCCTGAAGTTAGCATGTAAGACAAATTCTGTTATTGATTTCAGTGAGGCAACTGCCGAAGCTATAGGCTATAACTCATTGCTGATTGTTGCTAATTTGGACAACAGAATGGATCGAATAATTGTTGGCAGACAGATGTTGTTGGGGAGTGAACTGAGCGTTTACCATTGACTATGTTTTGACCTGAACCAAATCAAAGCTTACTCTGGGCTTCAGGTAGCAGAAGTGGTAAAAGCAACAGAGGTTGTTGTGATGGCAACCTCTTCCTCTTCTGTTTTTTTTTTTTTTTGTACAGACAAAGAGGTGTTGTGTGTACACTGCTAGCTACCCTTTATTTCCAGCGGTCCGTCTATGTGCATCTCAGGCTTGCTCTTCTTCTCCGTCGTTGTTGTGGCTGACACAGAAGAGCGCTTGTAAATGCCCTTCTGGACATCCTCGAATACGACAAACATGTTGTGGACCCTCGCAGTGTAGCCTGCCAGCTCCGTGACCTGTCCCAACAAACACACACGGGTCAGTCCATCTCTGGTAGATGTTAGTGTCACCACCATTGTGATAAAGATCACGATCATGGTGATGTGCCTGATAAAAATGTGACTCCATGAGTGCAGGACTTGGAACATTGATCCTAAGCTAGGTTTCATTTTAACTTCGGCTGCTGCATCTGCAATAGCCATAAAGTACATTCAGTGCCCCCGTTAACAGGAAGCTGTTCCTCCTCAATATCTCCTGGTGCTTGCTTATATTAAATAATTAAGGTTTTTATATGTTCTGATGAAGGCCACAAGGCTATAACATTAACATGTCTGCTGGCATGGCCAAAACAAATTGGCAAAATGAAGATCTGTCAATACATTTCCCTAAAGTTTGTGTCAGTAGACAAGCAGACTTAGAAAAAGGTTTTGAATCTGTGTAAAATATAAAAACAGAAAAACAGAATGAAATCATGTACAAATTGCATAAACCTGTATTTTACTCACAAAACCCCCCCCAGAAAACATATCAAATGTTTGAGACTACTCATTCGCTAAAGCTGAAGTGGATACTCATTCAAAATGAAACTTTTCTGCAGTCAGGGGAATCTAAATCTGACTAAAGACAGGGACCATCTGGAGTGTTATCAGTGCTCAGTTTAAAAGCCTCTCTGATGATATGAGGGTGTTTTAGTGCCTGTGGAATTGGCAGTGTGCACATCTGAACAGGCACTATAAATGTTGAAAGCTATATCCAGGTTTTAGAGAAACATTTTCTCCCATCGAGATGACGTCTTTTTCAGGCAAGACCTTGCACATTTCAGCAAGACAATACTAAAGCACATAAAATATCTTTCAGAATCTGGAGGCTGAACTTTTTATCAGATGACAAAGACCCAGAACTGTTGAGCAGCTAGAATCATATGAGACAAGAAAGGGACAACATCCCTCTGCCTGAAGTCCAGCAGCCGCTCTCGTCAGTTCCCAGACTTTTACCGACAGTTGTTAAAAGAAGAGGCTGTACCACACATACCACACAGTGGTAAACATAACTTCTTTGTGAGGCATTGCTGCCATCAAATTCAAAATAAGCTCATATTTTCTTAAACTGCTACATTTTCTCAGTTTGTGTTTTGATGTTTTTTGTTTCCCATATGCAATTTTGAAACGAATAAAAATGACAGATTTATAAGATTCAAAAATCATTGCATTTTGTTTTTACTCACATCTTACAAGGCGTAGCAACTTTTCCTTACTGTTTGTGTGTGCTTTTGGATTAGATATATCATATATTTGCTTTTCCTCTTGTGGTTCTTTGCACCGTGATAATAGGCACGCACGCAGATTCCCCGCATAGCTCAAAAGAAAAAAAACAAACAAACCCTACTTCCACTTCCAATGTTCAATTTTTATCCAGACCACATCTCACTGAGATCATAATTTCACTTCACTTAACCAGCTCTAAATGTCATCCTTAAATAATTACTACTTATTCTGTATTTTCACCTTGTATTCATCTACCTCTTCCTGGATTTTAAAAAGAGATTTTTGTAAACATGATCATAAAATTAGTAAAATAATACATTTACTAATGTCCCACCGGGAGGAGGCCCCGGGGCAGACCCAGGACACGCTGGAGAGATTATATCTCTCGGCTGGCCTGGGAACGCCTTGGTGTTCCCCCGGATAAGCTGGAGGAGGTGGCTGGGGAGAGGGAGGTCTGGGCCTCTTTGCTTAGGCTGCTGCCCCTGCGACCCGGCCTCGGATAAAGCGGATGAGGATGGATGGATGGAATACATTTACTGCTGAGGCAACAGAGGAAAGGAGCCAAATGTGTTTACAGGCACCTGGAGAGTGTTTCTTTTCGCTTTCTGTGGTGCACCCTGCAGCGAGACAATGCCGGCTGTTGACACAGCTTGATTATTTTAAACATCGAGCACCATTTCTGAGAATTCATGGACACCGTGCGGGGCAGCGGACCAGCTCAAACTCATTCAACCAGTTATATTTCTACTCGTGTGCTGGTTAGCCCAGTGGCTGCCAAAGTTCAACAGCATAGCAATATATATTAGGGGTGCTACAATACACAAAATTCACGGTTCAGTTCGGTTCGATACTTTGGTGTCACGGTTCGATATTTTTTCGATACAAAAAATGTTCATGCCTTTTTAATTTGTCATTTATTAAAATTATAAATATATATTTTAACTCAAAAGTACAGTTTTTAAATTTAATGTTGCTGAAACAACAAAGTAATAAATAAATAAATCTATCTGATCGAGAAATCACTCATCTTTGGAAAAGAGAGTTTATTACAGAGAAATGGCTCTTTCCAAAATAAAAGCTATACTATATGCTTCTTGGGTATACTCTCAGCAGCATATTAAACCTATCAGGTCCCCATAAGGAGAATCACGTGCTAACGGCTGTCTAAATGACCCCGGTAAAGTTTGTAGCATGCCTGGTTGTTGTTTTTGTCTGCTTCCACTTGTCTTTGCACTAGGATGATGTCGGCGTAAATGTGCAGTCATACTCGTTGTGTTCCCACTAGTGCTGTCAGCGTTAATCTGAAATGACGTTAACGCCACAACACGGCTAATCTCCGTTAACGAGCTACGGCGGATCGCCCCATACGTGGGGCTGGACAGCGTCAACACGTTAACGAACAACTGCGCTAACGCAGTAGTTCACACCAATGTAATTGAGCATTGCGTGGCACATCCGACATACTGTTTTACTTTAGTCCATGACACGCTTACCTTCAGGGTCATGCTTCACATGAAAACCAAAATAGTTCCAAAGGCCAGATCTGAATGAGGGTGGGGGAGGTTCAGTTTGCCATGTTGCAAGGAGATTAGCTTCTGTCTTGCTAGCATGCGCTGCGCTCACTGGATCTGCGCTCGACAGTGCAGCCTAGGCGGAGTAGTCGAACGCAGATCCACTGAGCTCTCAACAGAAGAAAAGTTGATAAAATAAATTAAAAATTTTGTATTGTTCGATACATATGCTACCGAACCAAAAGCACTGTATCAAACGGTTCAATATCAATACGAGTATCGTTGCACCCCTAATATATATGCAGCTTCAGTTTATTTTATTATGAGCCTCATTAACAGCACCAAAAAACCCACTGGGAAAAAGAACCACAGCCCTGCATAATGACATCTGACATTTCAACATAAGTATAGCAATGATTACAAAACACACACATTTGTGTTCTTTATAGTCTGCCTTTGTTCAAAATCCCTGATGAAAACATGCTGTTTGACTCATTTTTGTCTTAGTAATTAGTTCAACTTTTGCATGATATATCACCCAAATGTTAGTCCGATTGAATTTTTCTTGCTTTTGCTAAAATAAAGTGACCTCCTAAAGCCGGGAACACGCTGTAATAATGCAAAATCCGTTTTGTACAAAGCAATTGGACATCTTATGCAAGAGAGATCCTTTTGATATGGCTGTATATAAGTAAACAATACGTAAGTAATCAGTTTAAATATTTAACCAGCCTAGACATTCATGCAGCATTGCAATATTTGTCCTGAATTCACAAAAAAACATACCGGGGCAAATTAAATACCACTAAAACCATCACATCCACTATTCTGGTTTAGAATCAAGCAAACCTGAGCTTTTCTTTGCTTGAGCTTTTTAAACGTGATGAAATTTTCAAATACTGGAGTCAGCATATGTGCAAGTAACCCCTGTGTGTTTCTTTTTTTGAAATCTTGGGTTTCTATGATGTCAGTGAGAGGGGATGTCCCTAATATGGTCATCTCAGAAGAGGGGCAATCACATGAAAATGCCCCCCTCCAGTATAAGTTAATAAGGATTATTTTGAATTGTGACTCACATGAAGCTAATCTAGCAGCAGAATAGATCCCTTTAACTAACACCCAGCTGCAGATTAAATGAGACCTGACTGCCCACTCGTAAATACGGCCCTGTTCTGAAGACCAGACAAGGCAGGTGCTGTAATCTGGTGCTTGCTGGGTTTTTTGGTGTGCTCAGCAGGTGTATTAACAAATACAGCCGCTTCATCCTTTCTGATTGGCCTAAAAAGAGTTCAAGTAAATGCTGTTGATCTTCCAGCTCTGCAGAAGTGCAGAGCTGAAAGATCAACAGATGGAGGATTATTTGCAGCTAAGCTGAGCTCTGAGAGAAGGAGCTCTCAAAACACACACACAAGCGCTGGGTTTCACTGACCCGAGAGTGATGGTGGATTCACTCTTCAGGAAGTGAGGCCTATTTAAGCCCTCTGTGTTCAGTTCTGTTCCCATAATAGAATTCCAAGCAGTGTAACACATACAGCATCAGAGCACCAACCTGACCCAGTTCTGTTTTTTACTTAGTCACTGGATCATGTGCTGATAGAACAGGGTGCCAATTTTAATGTACACGAGTGAACTACTGTGTTGTGTGTGAGGTTGGTAGATATTTATGTGCTTTTCACATAAAAATAAAAAACAAAACGGGGACTTTTAGTCTTACCTTGTTATTGTGGAACAAAGAACAAAAACAACAGCAAAGCTTTTTAAGATGAATAACAAACTACTGCAAGGTAGGACTTGTCATGGGCCAATCTGACTGCACACACACACACTCCTCCATATTAAATAGGCAGAGTGTGTGGAGGCGTGAGCTGGGCACGCTGCCTCAGGAATGTGCTCCATCCCTGCTGTCTGTCAAACTGCACACACACACACACACACATCTCTTGGCCTTGCACGCAGGGGCACGCCGCAATGCATCTCAAGCCACGTGCGCACACGTGCTCAAAACAGAAGTGCATGCAGGCTTAAACTCGTATCCCCCGGGAACGTGTTTTTCACAATAAAATGATAATCATGGTGTGAAGAAGGTGGCATGATGGGAAATTCTTTAGCACGGGTGAAACAGTTAAGGAAGCTCACAGCCAACCGCAAGCACATCGAACCAGTTTCATTTCCTCCTCTTTGACGCTGTTTCGGGCTGCTGAACCGTCGCTGACAGTCAAGTTACTCGCTGACAGGCATGAGATAAACCCGCCAGATCTTTGCTCAAATATTCCACATTTTTATAAAGGGAATTATCAAAAAGCCTGGGATAGTACACGCCAACACACAGGGTGGCACGTGATCAAAAGTGCAGCAGTACTAATGAGCTGCAGTGCAACACAGCTTCAGCACAAATGTGCTGCAACCAAATCCTCTTATGGACTTCAAAATGTAGCCTGAGAGAGAGAGAGAGAATGAACTGGTCTTGCAATTTCTTTCTTTCTTTCTTTCTTTTTGGATTAAAGTGCAATGAAAGATCAGGGATTTGGCTATCAATGAACAAGGTCTTTCATTCAGCTTTTTTTTCTCTTGTTTTTCCTTTTTCATGCTGTGTGGTGAGTTTTGCAAGAAGAAGAAGGAGAGAGATGGACATAAATCAATCCGACATTCTTGATGTCCACTCGTCCATGTACACATGGGCCACCGGAACGACCCACCGATGCTCAAACCTGGCCGGTTTATTTCTTCAAGAAGACATTTTTACTGACATCTGAGCCAAAAAACTGCAAAGTTGTGACACTCTGTACAGTCTTGGGTACTTCCTACTGTTCAGACGGACAATTAAACCTAAAAAGCTGCCAGATATGTTGTGAAAGAACAAAATGCTGAATCATTATAAGTTTAAATAAGCGCAAAAGACCTTTTCTTGTATGAAACTTCTGCTGCACTGCAATTGACTCTCAAACACATCATTTGCAGGATATAACACGTATTCAAAAGGCAACATTCATAAATTTCCATCTTAAACAGCGAAAATCTGTTATTAACAGATTAATCACTTCTTCATACAGTCTCTAACTTATCCAAAAATAATGAAAAATCTGTAATTTAATGCCTTAAAAGGGAAGCATTCCACATGTTGCTTTTCTGGACTCTACTAGAGCCGCTTTGCATGATTCACTTCATGCACAGGATGAAAGAAGTCCCCTCTCCCTTTAACCCAGCTTGTCTTCTGATTGGCTGGCCTTTGCAAACAGCAGGTCTGGACAGGAGGTTGGACTCACAGCCAGAGCTGTGTGCCTCAGATGACTAGATTATTAACATCAGAGTTGCTGCAACTTTCAGAATGGACGAGTATGAAATGCAGGTGTGCATGAGAGATCAGTGTAAGATGTGGGCCTGTGAGTCTCAGTTATGAAGTTTTCTGATTGAAAATGACAGCAAAGTTGTGTTAAATTCAGCATACTACAGTGCACCTCTTTGTAGGAGGACATGATCCTCTCGATGGCATCAGCTCCTGAGGCCAAGAGGTTACGTGCGGTGGTGAACGCCTCTGTTCTCTCGCTCACCATCACCTGGGTCTGACCGTCAGCTGTTTCTATAAGGGTGGAAAGACAGGCACAAGACATGGGACAGCGAGCAGAACAATTAACTTCGGGACCTCAAAAGACAAAACAGAGCTTTGTGTGTCAGCGGTGCGAAACATATTTTCACACTTTCACCTGGGAGCATAAGGATACGATGGAAAAAGGTTCATTAAATATCTGTAGGTACAGTGTAATAAGGGACTCGGTTACAGGCTTATTATTGATGCTGAGAGCTCATCAGGGAGGTGTGGGAGGCAGCTACTGTTTTCACACATGCTAATCAGCTCCCGCTGGTAGAGTAAGCAGTAACTACAGTTATTATAGTTGCACTTAAAAGGCAAGCACAAGGCGCGTGCTAGGGTAACGCTACACCTAACCGACTCCCTACCGCTGTCAGCGAAGCCGGTGGCTGTGATGATGGGCACGGCCACCATGACGAGCCCGGCGCCGCTCCACACGTACTTCATGAGGAACTGCTCGATCATGATGTACCAGAGCCGTTTGGACAGGATCAGGTTCATCTGGTCTGCCAGAGCCCGGTAGCACTTCTGCAGCTGACACATCTCCACCTGCAGCGGGCGGTACATCAGAACATGAAGCAACACAGGCATTTCCCAAATCTCTGTGTGATCTGTGAAAAAGGCCGTGCAGTAGAATTTCTTCAAGATAATAGTAAAGTCTTTCACACTGATGCTCTTTCAGAATAAAAATAGCTTTAGTCAATAAAGTTAAAACTAACTCTGCTGCTAATCTTTGTGCCGGCTCTTATAGCATATTTGTGATCCTAACAGCCTCAAGCAGCAGTAGATGGAACATTGTTATGGATATGACCATTCAGCTTAGCTGGCCATCCTCAAAGACCTACCTCTAAAGTTACCGCTTCACCCATAGTAATTACATTGGTGTCTACAGATTGTAAATGTGTTATGCATTTCACACGTAACGTGGCACATCCGGGCACAGACACTTCCTAATAAATAAACACAATAATGATCGTGTGGCTGCACATAACTCCCACACCGCTTCCATTCTGCAGCTAGCACTCACATGCCCACATCCGTCTCTGCATACCTTGTGTCCTCTGTAGAAAGCTATTTCCTCAGCATTAGCAATGATCCTAGAGTGCACATAGCGCAGGTAGCCCTTCCTGTGAGCCTCTTCGGCCACCAGCTTGCCAAATTTGGGCGAGCATGCACGCAGGACTTTAGCCGTGGCAAACACCACGAGCCCTGCCAGCAGGGTCGGACCGGAGGCGTTGGCCCCCCTGGACCTGGCGGTCTGAATCAACGTGTAGGAGGTCAGCATCACATCCAGTATAGGCTTGGTGAGGTTAGAATAGAGATGGGCCACGGACTGGGAGAACATCATCACGTCCTCGGTGAGAGACTGGTCCGGGTTGGCGAGCCTCCCGTCCATGTTGCTGACTTTGTAGTAGGTCTGATTGGTGAAGTAGGTCCGATAGGCATGGTTCACTAGCCGGGTGCGGAAGGCCAGAGCCAGTTTGCACTCCAGGTACCGGATGGCGCTGTTGACGAACGTGGCCGGGATTGCAATGAGGAGCCATTTGATCAGCTGGATGATGAAGCGTTTGGGTTTTTTCTCCACGATCGTTTTGACTATCTTGCCGTCCAAGCTGGCAACGTAAATAGAGAGAAACGTCCTAGATATCAGCGCCACCGAGTGCAAAGAGAGCAAAGCGAGCTCTCTGGAAACGAGCTTGGGAAAGAGGATTTTACCAAGTTCCAGGATCTGCATGAAAAACTCAGTATTCACCCCCGGGGATGGTTTCCTATCAATCACAGCATCCGTTTGAGTCTTTCCCGAGCAAGTGGAGCCGTTCTCCGCCTTTGAAGCCCGGTGATTGCTCCCAGGACCTTTGTTTTTGCAGAGCTGCTTGCAGATGATGGGGTACAGCGTTCTGACACCGTATGCAGCAGCCGCAAGAAACACGGCTCGCTTCGCCGCGGCCGTGCGGTCCCATCTCACTTTAGACGCCGCATCGAGGATGTTGGACATTTTTCAACCGTTAGTCGTCTCTGCAACCAGCCCTTACTACACCCATCCCCCAGACCTGACTCACCGCGTCGACATAAAGAGCGAGAGGATGGCCGGACTGATGTGAAGCGAGCCCGATACTTGTGCCGCTACATCCTGCTCCCCTTTTTTTTTGCGCCAGCTACAAGCACTTCAAACTAGAACAAGTGCACTTCCGGTTATTGTTGCCAAATTAAAGGCGTTCCTACCTCCACCGTGTTTGTGTTAGCTTTTATTTTATAAAGAAAATCAGCCCAACATCCGGTTTTGCTGTCGTCACTGGCGACTTAGTTTGCAAAGGGGTTTTTTCATTGGTCGAGCCCCCGGCAAAAATATGATTGGTTGTCTGACAGACGTAAGTAAATTAGTCCCAACTGATTTATTCTACTATACTACAGTATTTTATTTTAAGCAAACGTAAGGCACAGTGAAATAAAATACAGAAATAAAGCAGACAAACTCCATGAAAATTACACATATATATTTTCTTCTTTGAGCATTTCTGAGCACGTGTCGGAAGTCTGGTGGTTCGTCCTCGCGCTTCTATTGTATTCTGAAAGCTAAGATAAAGTTAGCTACCTAGCTGAAACAAAACAATAAGCTATGCACGGACTCTGAATTTTTGTGCTGACACAGGCACAAAAGCTTTGTAGTTTTCTGGATTTTGTCGTTTCTATAGTAATTAAGAGCTGTTAAAAATGAACTGGGTGGGAGGTTCAAGGTAAGAGAAAGCAAATTTTGGTTATTAGCTGATGTGTTAATGTATATCATATTAGCCTATAAATGTTTAAGCTAACTAGACATGTAACTGCTCATTTCAGAAACCGGTTAGTGATGAGGAATAATGCCAAAAAGCAGAGGGTAAGACAACCAAATAAAACTTACATTGTTTTACATTAAGTGCAAGTAGAATGCTAAATATTAAATGTTTAATTGTATACTCCATAAAATATTGTATCCAGAAGAAAACTTGCTTTAAAGGGATGCATTTCTAACCAGGGTTGTTTTACAAAATGGAAAGAATTGTTTTGACTTTTAATTTTGAGTATAAGTTAAATTCTTACATAAGGAGGTCAATAGTGCACAGGTTGCATATTGAAAATATATTTAAAGTAGTGGAATAAGACTTTTAATAATAATAATAATAATAATAATAAATTTTATTTAAAAGCCACGTTCAAGACATCTAAGGACACTTAGAATAGAATAAAAGACATAGTAGAACAATGACAAGATCTATCTATATATGTGTGTGTGTATACATGGTTTATAATGTGTGTAGCTTTGGACTTGTACTTGTTCACAACTTTAATTACTTATTTGTTGTTTGGTATTTTTAGTAGAAGGCAACTTAGCCATTTGAAAAGCCCAGACATGGCCTATTTGAAGTTTCATTGATGTGAAGTCTTAAAACTCAACAATACCCCAAAATAACTCATTAATAATCACTAGCCCAAATTGCTGCCTTTGTTTTTCACAAACATTTTATTTATTTTTCATGTAATAAACATTAAAATCTATATCCTTGTGTAATGATAATTCATTAAATAAATAACAATCACTAATGTTCAAGCTTGATGTTTTTTCATTGTAATCAGTTTTGTAAATGTATTAAATTAACAAAGCCTTTGTCCCTGTGCCTAAATATTGGTTGTGCTTTTTCTGTTCCAGGAATTCTTTGAAAAGAGAAAAATGCAACAAAAACTTAAAAACATGGGAATACCTGTCCCAGCCCCTTCCCTAGGCAACACTAGTTCTGGTAGTTTGGACCTAATGACTCTGTTTATCGTCAACCAGATTGCTGCTAAAAAAGCATGTAAAGGTGAGATTCACAGCCCCAGATCACCAGAAAACAATAATCGAATACATTTAAGCCTCAGGATGGCAAATGATGTAAACAGAAAGTGTTCTTGTTTTTCAGATCCTCCTAAAGCAGCAGTTCTTGGCAGCTGTAAGGCAGGAGCCAGGCATAAGAGAAAAGATCCTCTGGTGCTCTCGATGAGCCCCTGTTCCCCATCACGGCTGTGTCTTGCTGAGGGCCAGTCTGAGTACAGGTATAGCCCCACTGTGGGTTAACAGTTCTTGTAGCCAATTATGTTAATATAATAATAATCCTCTTAATAAATGGAATGAAAAGGGTTTTAAAAGTATTATATTTTCCATTTTAACAGTGTTCAAGAAAGCAGAGAAAGAAGGAAGGTAATTCCACAAGGGTTCAAGTTTCAGCGTGTAAGTCACTTTCCCGCTCTTCATGGTTTTACTTCAAGTTAGCGAAACGTGCTTAATATGAACAAATGTAAAGACACTCACTAAATCCCTGTTTTTGTAAGTTGTCGCCAGTACTTGAGTCAGGTTTCTCAGACAACAGTGCCTCTGACTACCTGCCTGCCATACCTGATGCCCGCAGCCCCTTCTCTTCCACCTCATCTGCCTGCTCAGGCCAAGGTTGTGTAACACTAATAGACTATTAACAACTATAACTCAGTTACAGTACTGCGTATTCTTCTTTGCGTGATGATATCTTATGAAATCCAACTGTTCTCCACAGGAACTTTCACCCTGCAGCTGAATCTCCAGAAACAAAGCCAAGCACTGCATCCCTCTTCTCCCCCACCTTGGGACACCTCAGTTCTATCGCAGACCGATGCAGTAAGGGATAGCTCTTATTAGAATTACATCACTACTTTAAGGTTAAAGTTGTAGTTTTTACACATTTTACCCCACACGTGGTTTCATATGTAAGAAAGGAAAAGTATGGAAACTCTGACTTGAGTTGAGAAACTTATCTAAAGTTGGTGTGGAAAAATGGCTTATGTTGGTGTTGTTTAACAGGCCAACAAAGATTTTGGTAACTTCTCAGAACTCTGCTTTACAATAAATCATATTGTGCTTTAATTATAGAATGTGACATATGTCATGTGTGTCAAGGTCTTTCACAGTGAATGTAATCTTTTTTTTGTGTATTGATTTCATTCATGGGAATTAAAAACTGGTAATTTTGCCATGAGGCTGAGATACACGTTGAAGATGGTTTGCTTCAAGTAGAAGCTGCTGAAGTAACTAGATGAATGGGCCTGTTCCTGATAGTCTGGTGGTGAGGTGGTCCACTCAGGGTCACCAGCGTTTCGCCCTTTAACCTGTAAGACTTTAAATGAGTGGGGGATGGCCAACTTCGATGAAAATTGAAGCTGCATGCCATCCTTTTCGCATTGGCTTTCTTCAGATTGTGAGAAATGTATAGCCTGTCCCCCAGTGACCTCATCTACAAACATGGTTTTTGCACACCTACACAAGTGTAATCCCAGGTGCCTAATTATAAATACTTATTTATATTTATTCAGGCTATTCAGGCCTAAAATTCAGGCATTCTTGTTCAATACAAAAGCTGAAAACAACAAAGAAAAAGTAATGTAGCATTACTTTTGGTATTACTAAAGGTACCAGTATTTTATCATATCACTATAGTATTTTAGTAAGTAAAATTTATTTATATAGCACTTTTCACAGTTAAAAATCACAAAGTGCTTCACAATTAAACCAGAAATATAAATAAAATGAAAAAAAAATTAAAGCTTGTTTGTATAGAAATGTCTTCAGCTGCTTTTTTTTAAAAGGGGTCAAGTGTAAAGAGTGCCTTTGTGCCACTGCCCGAAAAGCCCGATCCCCACGTGTTTTGAACCCAGTACATGTGACCAACAGTAACCTCTGACCTGAAGCGCTCAAGAAGAAGCATGAGGTTTCAACAGGTCAGAGATATACTGTGGAGCTTCAACATGTGGAGCTCTGAAAGTTACAACTAAAAGTTTAAAATGAAACCTAAAATTTGCCGGCAACCAAAACTGGAGTAGTATGTGACCTCTTGTTTTAGACCAGTTTATAGTCTTTGGAGCAACAGCATCTCTTGCTAAGAGAAAATAGTATCTAATAAAATGTGACAATAATGTGTCTTTCTTCTGACAAATGCTGATTTGTTTCTCTGTCAGTTTCATCCTTTCTCTCAGCCCAGAAGTATGACAAACACATCTCCCTGGTCGCACAACCTTAACCAACCCTTCTTCCAACTTGAGAACCCCACAGCATCTCAAGTCCTCTTTGGCAGTCCACAACCAGGGTGAAAACAAGTTTACATTTTAATTGGTTATTTTCTATCCTTAGTTTCAATTTTTTAACCAATCAGTGCCCGTGTGTGTTGCCACAGTAAAAGCAAGGCAGAAGACCATGCAACATATGTGGACAGCATCTTTCTCAACCGGCCAAAGGCCAAAGAGTCCATGCTGGACTTCACGCTTAACCAGTCAGAAATTCAGCAGCAATTGGAGAACAATGTCTTTAGAGGCTTTTGTGATGAAGATTGTGAAGGACACTCTCATCCTGGGAGTGAAAAATCAAAAATATGTCTCCCAGATCAGACACCGGTAAACTCTTCTGCACCTCAGTAAGTGTTTGCACTTCCAGTCTAACGAAATGCATTATTATGAAGCAAATTTTGAATCCATTTTATGTTGGGTTTTATCATTTTATTGCCAGAACTGTGCCAGACTCACAGTGCATGGGAGCAGAGGTAAGCGGGTTTTATAAACTACATGTGGGAGTAAAGTTGCCCTTTTACTGCCACCAAGTGGTCAAGTTTGGAACTGCGACGAAATTAACTTTAAATGTGTAGAAAGTAAATCATCACAAAGTTTAATGAGGCTCTCCAGTCATCATAAGCTGTCATATAGAACTCCCAACAGTTTATGTTTAATATTTTTCATAACTGGATTATATACATGGGTACAGCAGAAGTGTCAAATATTGATTATGTTTTGTTCACAGCCCTGCAACTGCCCTGACACAAGGTTTTGTAAGTTTCCAAGGAGTCTCACGTTAAGGAAATTCATTTATTATGTACATGTTTGAGGAAAAACCAAAACGTAAATGGGTGTTTTTTTCCCCTCTAATTCCACAGCATGTTTTGGAGACAACACTGGGCCAGTGAATGGCTCTGAATATTCGCCAAGTTACTCTTTTAGAGGAGGTCACCTGAGTCCAGACTCAAATGATGTGAGTGAAGCTACACTGTGAACTTTATTCCAACTATCTGAAGTGCTCTACTTGGAAAGTTATCTTTGAAATACATTAAAGTAATCTTTCATCTAACCCCTCAAAACTGTAGCAAATTCATGCTGTATTTTTG